CTGTTGTTTCAGCAGCAACTTCTGGTTCTGCGATTGTTTGAGTATCTGTATGCGAAACATCTAGTTGTTCTGGACTAATCGGGGCACTTGTTTGCACATCTCTTTCGTAAGATTCTGGTACTTCAGACAACGTTTGAATAGAAATTTCTTGCACAATAATTTTCTCTGCCACTAGTGGTGGAGTAGTTTGTTGCTCGACTTCTGTTACAGTATTTATTGCTGTTTGAGTTTCAGTCGCTATCATTGAAGATGATTCAACAGGTGACGTTTGTATTTCCGTGGAGTGAACATCAATTTGAGTTGTCTGTGCTTGAGAATCTTCTGTTTCCACTGAGGCAGGAATAATATCTTCTATTGGACTAGTTTGAATAGCGAACTCTTCCATTGGCGTCGCCGTGGGTGTCATAGTTTGTACACCTGAATCTTCGACTTCCGGTGTTTCTTCCGCGATAGTTTGCGCGCTGAAATCAAGTCCGGGTTCTAAAAATGTTTGTGTCTCCATATGAGTCTCTTCAGTTTTAGCCGTTTGTATTTCTTCTTCCAAAGTGATCGGTACCGGTTCAGGAGAGGTTTGCATGAACGTAGAGAGACTTTCCTCTTCTTTTGGAGTAAGCGAAGTCGATACATCACACGTTTCTATAGCTGTTTGAGTATTCGCGTCATCTAACGTAGTTTCGTGTTTACTTTCTTGTTGTATTGTTTCGACTTTAATTTCTTTTGTCTCATCTTCTGGTTTCGTTACATCTTCTTTCATTTTTTCCTCTTCTATAATTCGACCATCTTCTTCTATCGTGATGTCCTCTTTTTTCTTATCCTTTGTGGTTATTTCTTTTACTTCAGAAATTTCTAAAGGAAGACTATTGTCTGTGAACGTCGCATCATCGCTACTAGTCTTGGGCATATAAGTCATATCTTCATCTCGAAGTGGTCGAACCTTTTGCTTCTTCTTCTTTTTCCTTTTCTTCTTTATGCCGTCTTCATTTTCCACCGCGATCGACAATTCATCCATAGTTTTATCGTCCGGTTGATATCCGTCGTTCTCTGCCACAATGCTGTCGTCTAAGCTTAGAGAAGATTCGGACTTGATAATATCTGTGACGTCCGGTTGTGGTTGCTCACTAGCATGTTTGGACGAATCAGATGATGGAATATTGATCTCCATAGATTCGGCAATTGATGTAGCAATGGAAGTGCTAGAGTCTGTTTCTGCTGGTTTTTCCAAGGATTCTGATTTATCCTTGTGCCGTTTCTTTTTTCTACTTTTATGACTTGTAGTATCCGATTTACTCTTTTCTGGCGATTCGATGTAAACATCGACTTCTTTTTCTGCAGTATTTAATTGTAAGGTTTCTGTTTCTTTTTCAGCAGTGAGAAAGGCGGTGGTCTGCACAATTTTATCGTGTATCACTTCTGTCGTTTCCTTGTCCGCTGGAAGATTAATATCTACATCTTCTTTAACGATGCTATACGGGGCAATTTCGGGTCGTTCTGCCTGAGTTTTGATAGAAACTAATGGTTCCACTTCTTCATCTTCTTTACGCACCGATAGAGATATTTCAACCTTATGAAACATCGGTTTGTATTCTGGTTTGAATGCTTCATCCCTAGAGTTATCTTTTTCTTCACTTATGAACAATTCTGGTGATATTTGCCGTTTTTTGGAAGATATTTCCGCATCTTTCAATTTTGAAATAGTTTTTTCCGCATTTTTGTCAGATTCAGAAATATCTAACTTACTTGTTAAAGCAATCGATCCGTTTCCTAGCTCCAATTTTTGAAGTGATGTTAAGGTTGTAACTTCTTTGGATGATTCGAGAGAGACCTTTCTTTTCGATTCTTCTTTCTCATCATACTTTTTTTCTAATACAACATTCAATACATCGATATTTTTATCTGCATCTACAGTGCTGCTATCACCATGGTGCGTCTCTACTTCTACCGTGCCATTTTCTAGCTCGATACCGAGTGTTTCGCTCTTTACTGGTGCATCGTCAGACTTACAAGTAGCCTTGGTGACCACTGGTTCATCATCTGTTACGGCCGGCTCTAATGGAGATTTTACAGATTCCGATTGTACCGTTGCAACATCTTCAACAGGAGTCTGCAAAACAGCAGATCGTTCAGCATCGATTAGCGCTTGATTATCGATCGCAAGTATACTTGTGCCATTTACCTCGGTAGGAAAGTGCTTGTATTCTTGTTTGTCCATCATTTGCGATTTAATTTCTGTTTGTGTCACATTTTCGTCACTTTGTACAGTAGAAATACCTTCATCAGCTTGAATGCTAACTAAATTTTCTTCTTGTGTTACATGCTCTTTCAAAGAAGAGAGCACTGCAGCTTGTGTAGAATCCGTTAATTTTATCTTAGAATCAGCTGTGTCCATTGTAGAATCTACTATTTTTATCGTAGGTTCTTCTAACAATGTAGTTTCCTTTTTGCTATTTTCAGTATCCAATGTTTTGGTTTTCAAGATGTCATCTTCCGCAATTGTTACCGAAGTTTTTGTGATCTCCTCTGCTTTATCTCGACATATGCTCGTTATATCTTTAGCAAATGGTCCAAAAAATGGTCCTTGCATCGGAGTTTCGGAGATATAAGATCCCATCTCTGATGTCGCTGCTTCTCGTTGCTCTATTGCCTTTTCCACTGGGAAAGTCTTTTGATCTTCGCTCTTAACTACGTTGATACTGATATGCGGTATATCCTGCTCATCTATTTCTACTTCTTCAGGCTCTTCAATCACCTCTTCAGTAGTGATCTCTTTACCATCGACGATGGTAACTTTTCGGATGATTTTACGCGTTCGCTTGATCACCCGTCTTGTGACTTGTTGCACTACAGCATGAACGCTTGATGTCCTCGTTTGATACTCACCGCCCTCCATCAGTATCTCCTCCTCGACAGGCTGACAGCTGATATCTCCTATCTGACCTTGCGTTACCATGCGCGTGTAACGGGGTTCGGATTCGTACTCCTCCACGTTGATACCTTCGACAGGGGCGCTTGTAGTAACTTTGCCACCGTAAATTTGCCTTGTCGTAGTCTCGATAGTACCATCTGGTCTTGTCCTAGTCATGGTGACTTGTTGATCTCTCATCGCAGCTTCTGAGAAAGCTTGCATCATCGTTAGCGTATCTCCGACTGCTGTCGACATCGTGGACACGCGCTGTTGTGTGGTTTGCCTGCTGGTGACTGCAGTACGTCGTAACTTTCTTACGATTATTCTCTTGGTGCCATCAGCGTCGACAACTACCTCGGTAGTGATGTCGTCTGGTTCGACCAGAATCGTCTCAAATGACTGTGGTGCAGCGTGAACAATGTTTAGCTCGCTTGTTGCACTATCGGTCTTTTTCGCGTCTTGGTACTTCATATCGACAACGATATCTTCGCTGGACAGAATGCTGGATTGTTCCCGACGCGCTATTTCTTGACTAGAACTAGACGGTACGTATTTGGTCGCTATTTCGATTACATCATGATCGCCTGTTGTAGTTTTTAAAACCTTTATAGCTTCCTGCGTTTGAGCACTCTCGCTCGGCAATAAATCCTGTGATGTCTGCGTGGTGAGAGAATGACACGTGGTTGACGGTGGCATCTGTGTTGTAGATGTCTGTTTTGTGAGTTGTGCTTTTCTTTCGACAACGTCGTCGATTAGTAAACTTTGACCTGTCTGTAAAGAAACGTCAGCTAAAGATGGCGGACCGCCTTCTATGGAGGAATGAATTGAAGGTGCTTCATCCAAAGTAGCATTATCTCTTTCTGTCGATTCATCGTCAGCTTGAGCTTCCTCATCACAGATCTCCTACGAGGATAACAATTTTGTTGAAATAATACACTAATATATATTTGCGACATTATAATTTAAATATTTATTGCAAAGGTATTTGTATCTATTTCTGCATATGTTTCGAACTAATGAATATGTTCTTATATTTAAAATTATTGTTAATTATTTTAATTGTGAAAAATAAATGAAATATTAGGTTTATTTTTTCTTTTTGTTAAACAGATTAAAACAGAAACTGAGATAAGGTAATACTCAAACTGGAATTTATTTAATTAGTAGAGTAACAATGGATAATAATCGTTTATTTAACACAAATTATTTCTGATAATATTTCTATCTAGTTTTTGTTATAAGAAACTATTTGCAATATGTTATAGCTTGTGATAATTAAATTACATATAACTATTAGGTGTTGGAATTAATTCGTAGCGTTTTACATGAAAGATGTAACGTAGAAAAAAATTTAATTATTTTTTTATAATAATAAATAAAGTTAATTATCACTAGGTATTGACACATTGCCAATTAGATGATTTATAATATAAAAAAAATATGAATAATATTTAATCATGAAAATAATATGAATAATATATGCACACATTTTAAAACAGTTTAGTTTAACGGTTTTATCTATCAGTATGTCGTATATATACATACTTAGAAATTATTATTTACTCGATATTATTTATATTATTTATGCCGGACTAAATATGATACATAACTATCATATTTAACGTACAATAAAAGGAAGAGGGACAGGTATTAATGAGAATTTTCTTTAATTACATGAAATATTACAGCAATGTATTAACATTCCTTGATTACATGCAATGCTATATTACATCCATCACCTTAAGATAAACGAAAATACATAATAATCACATGATACAAGTAATGTACAATGAACTAATAACATACGGTGCATGATATCTAGTGAAACAATGTGCATGATAAGAAGCGCATGTGTTTGTAGCAACGACGGTGAAGATAAAAGAAAAAAAAAATATTCTCAAAATAATGTTTTGTACAATTAAACGATTTATATTCATATAAGCATGCAAAAGTAAAATTGTTTTATTAACCTTGACTAGAATGTCTATTGCCGACAGTTGCATTATATTTATTGCCGCTTATTACAAAGCGTTCATTATCATCTAATTGATACGTATTACACGTTGTTTCCGGAATGACTATCCAAATTCAAAGGCACTATTTCAGACTCTTAAAGACTCAAGAGACTAAATAGTTTTGATGTAGATTTACATCTTTTTTGATGTTTACGTGAAAATAGGAAACATTAAATTTTATATATGACTGTCCATTAATTTTATCCGTTACTTATAATTTTTCATCCGCTCTACAAAGCTTATCAGCTTTGTAATAATCGCAAGTTGCAAGCTTTTTATTTTCTATTCCCAGTATAGCGAAGCTTTGGCAAGTTCCAAAAATTAAAGATTTATTTTTCCGAATTCTTTGTAATATCGCTTTAAGCAACCGAGCCACCATGAAGAGTAGTGATATTTGCGAAAGCCCCCGAAGCGTTGGATACCTGCTGCTTTCGTTGGAGACGGTCGATTACGTCCAAGAGGGCTTCCTTCAACGCTATCGCTAGCGTGCTCACTTCCGGCAACGATTCGAGTTCTGAGACTTGATGTGCACGACTCATTAATTCTTCCTGTAAAGCCTGTCCGTTGTGATAAGTAAAAAATTTAGCATTATTTTGCGTGCAATGAATAACGTATTATACTTAATCAAATTAATTCTCGACCATATTAAACCGATACTTATATCTAATATAAAACTACTGAGTTATGATTAGAAATAAGGATTAACATTTGACTTTTTTAAGAAAAAGAATACATATCTAATTTAATCATTTTTCAAAGTTTTTAAAATTGTTGAATATAAAATATAAAAGTCCAAAATAGCAGATTTAATATATAGCGAACGCAAAAAGTACAATAATCTTCTATTAAAAAAGTTTATATTGAAACAGACCTTGCTGGTATTAAGTGAATGTTGCTCATGCAATTTTGATACAACATTTCTTAACCAAGTATCTGTCTCTTCGAGGAATAATTTATAAGTATGAATCTCTTGGCCACGTTTCTCTCGGCTTTCTCGTGCTTGTTCCAGAGCTGTCCTCCCTTGTTCTGCTTGATCGAGAAGGGAAGTGACGCGTGTATGAATTCCCGTTAAAGCTATCGAGAGTTTTTGAGATTCAATATCGGCAGGAATTTCTTGCAATCGCTTTTGAAGTTGCATAGCATCCTCATCGTAGGCGCGAAGCTCCATTAATATAGTCTAAAGAAGTTAGAGAGAATTCTTTGAATCGTCTTTTCCGATATATTTTTCTGTATAAGAAAATTAATCTACTAGAATGATAATACGAATTTAATAGAAATTTTTTTAATTTTCTTATTTTTTAACTTGCTTTAATTTTATTAAATCTTTAATGATTATATAGATATACAATTTTTTCTCCTTTATTTAACATTCTTACCATAAGAGATGAAAGCATAGACTCTATACTATCTCGAGGCAAATAGCTCATCGTTCCTTCGAGATTCGTAAGTCTTGCTTGTAAAGAAGCGAGGCCTTCTTCGACGTCCTAAAACATAAACGATCATTAGCAATTTTATCGTTGATTACGAGATTTATCACTACTTCAATCATGCCGTGCACACGACGGAATTCAATCAATTTTCACGCTGAATATTAATCCTATTAAATGAAAAAATTTTTAAAACCTGTAAAAAAGGATGTTATTTGATGTTATAAAATGGCATATTGCAAAATACAATAAAAGCACATTGATGAAGACAATTCAGTTCTGTTATAGAAAGATATCTGTTATACAAACACTCGTTGCTATATATAAAGAGATAAATCCTCATCATGCAAATTGTACATTTCGGGATATCTCGTTAAGCAGTCCGAATACAAAGACCTGTCACGTAAAGTTGCCAGCAACCAAAAGTAAAAAAAATCAGGAACACTGCGTATTAATTTATATTTTCCATGAGCTATTGATTTTCAATTATTCTGCATGAATTATTTCGTTGATATTTGATATTATCGCTCATTTATCAATATATTACAAATTATCAATATATTACAAATGTAGATATATATGTATGTATATTGATATCTAGTAAGCGTAATATATATAGGTATTTAAGTAACTATATATATATATATATATATATATATATATATATATATAGAATAAACATGCAAGTACTACAAACTATTTTTTAAAAGGAAGATTATCGCTATATCATGCATATGACATATTATACTAATTAATTTCATTTTGTTAAATGTATTCGTAAAAAATTAAAATGTTTTGTGAAATTAAGACAAATTTATAACAATAATAATAATTCGATAATAGCGAGTAGGCAGAGCAGCAATAACGATATATTTATGTATGAATGGGTTGTAATTGACGACACAAGAAAATCACACACATTGGATTCAGTATCGAACAAGTAAAAGAAAACGTAGTCGTTTTACAAAATGAGAGACAGAGAGAGCGAAAAACCAGTGGTAGACAATCCAGATAACTAAATACAACACGTATATATACATATAGATGTATATATACATATAGCAGCGGACTTGGTTCAAATTTGACTAGAACAAGACCGAGCACTGGCTGTGACGGTGATCGCACCTGGATCCTGCGTATCCTTTCAGCCTCGCCTTTAGCCGTCTCTCTCTCCACCTCCCCGTTCGGGCTGCACCGTTGCACGGATCCCTCCCTCGTCTCTTTACCTAAATGCAGTTTGGATTGTGGAAGGTGGGTAAAGGTCGATGATTTGGTGCAAGTGCTAGGATCATTGGAACTTTGGAAACTATTCGAAGAAGAGACAGGATATTCCCACGGTGTTATTTCGACGTTTGCAAGAGATTCTATGCACGATTCAATCTGCGGATCCTGGGAGGGAGAGGATGATGACGGGAATCTAGGAGATGATAACTGGACTTCGTTTGGCAACGAGTTATCCAAAGATAAACTCGAATGTAATGTTGGATCCTCGATCGTGCCGAGTAGTAGATTGTGATCCATTGTCCGCTCGCTCTCGCTCGATAGATAAGTGCTATAGTCGCTCCAACTACATATGCCACCGGGTAGATCAGCTATCATACGTTCTGTCTGAGGTGTACCCAGAAGAGAACATGAGTTTCCACAAGAATCCCATGACCTACCACTGCTACCACCGCCCGAATTGTCGTCGTCGTGATCTTGGGGACGATTGTCGGAATCACGTTTACTATCATGTGAGAGATTTTTTTTTGTATGTAAGGCTAAGTTCTCGAAATGATCACGCTCAGCTTCGTGATAGGGTCGTTTGTCAGGCCAAAAACCATCATCAATGGACAGGAACCATGAATTAGTTGTACACGAATCAGTTGTAGATTGTTCCTGCAGGAAGGATGTTGATGGAACGTGCTTCCGTCGATCGGGATTCAGAACTAAGATTTCGTCCGCTATATAAAACTGGACTTTAGATTTGGATGGTTCAACTAAAATGTCAGAATTTTCTTGTTCAGTACTTGCAATGCATTTCAATTTATCCTCGTCTTCGAAGGATTGTTGCACAGTTGAAGATAATTTATCTGACGGTAGAGAATGTTTTATAGCTGCATTTACCGAGTCACACGGTAACTCCTTTTGCATGCAAACATGATTAACTGGAGTTTCTGTTTCGATTTCATCATTTGTTTTATCTGATATCAATACCGATTCTATTTTGGTATTATCGTCGTTAGTTGTAATATCATGTAGTTTCAAAATATTGTCAGATTTAGATAAACAAATATTGTTAGATTCTTCTGTTTGAAGCAAGTCAATTTCAGTTTTTTCTTTCAAAATATCAGTGGGTACTTCTTCGGCTTCAAGAACATTTTCTTTTAATTCTTTAATGTCTTCTTGCTTAATTGTTTCCGTGGCAATAGAGAAATGATCTTTGTTAGTTACATTTTTTGGAGATTGTAAAATTTCAGCTAATTCATCATTTAATATTTGATCTTTGATATTTTCTTCCTTAATTTGCGTAATGTTGCATACTTCTGTTTCTTTAGATAAATTTACTTCAGTGTTTTCTACAATGGATAGAGTTTTGATTTCCTTAGGCTCAGTTGTAAATGTAGTTGTAAAATTTTGAGACTTAGTTTTATCATCTTGTTGTTTCTCTTTTTTCGATTTGGATTTGCTTTTAGCTTTTTGTTTGTCTTTTAGCGAAGTTATATGTGGAAGTGAGGTTTCATTTATAGTTTCGAATTTTTCCAAAGGTTTCTCAATTTCTTCTTTTTGTACAGATTGTATCTCAATTATTGATTCATCGTCTATTTTATCTTTTGATAATGCGATTTCTTTTATTTTAATGTTTTCAATAGTGTTTATATCTTCAGATGAATCAGTAAATTTGCTCTGGGCTATTTTTACTTTTTTCTTTTGTTTACGTTTTTCTGCTTTTGTGAATTTAGGAATTTCTTTTTCTTCCGTAATATTTTTTTCTATTTTTTCTAAGTGAGGTTCTGTACGTATTTCTGCATTTTTCGATTCGTCAACTATCATATTCTGTTCAATACTTTCTTTTTCTGTACTTTCCTTTTCTGTAGGAATCACAATTTGTTTAATATTTTCTTGTCTTTTAATTTTTTCTGCTGAAATTTCTTCATTTTCTGGATACGTAAGTATATTACATGTCATATCTATAGTAATTGCTTCAAATTTTACTTCATCTAATTTGGATTCTACTGGCAATTCTGTTTTCTTTTCTAAATCTTCAGCTATAACTGTCTTTTTGTCTATATCAAAAGTACTTTCACTCAGTTGCTCAATTACAAATTTTCCCTTTTTATTTTTCTTCTTTTTAGATTTCGTAGTATTGTTTTGATCTACAATCGGAAGTGCTGTTATATCCTTGCATTTATTCTCTTGCTCATGCTCTGTATCTTTAATTAACTCTATTTCTTTTATTGATTGATCTTCAATATTTTCTAATTGGTTCTTATTATGTTCTGTTTTATTTTCATTTGCAGATTTATCTTCTCTCGGTTTTTCGATATGTTGTAATTCTTTGTGTTCATTAACTTCAGATTGCTGTTTCATATAATCTTTACCAGCTTTATTTTTTGACTTAGTCTTTTTACCTTTAAGTGTTGCGCTTGGTTCGGATTTTGTTCCTTGAATAATTTTATTCTCAACATGACTTTTATTTTCTGCAAATTGCATTTTGTTTTCATTCGAGTCATTTTTCTGTTTGTCTTTATCTCTGCTTTTAGATGATTTGGCATTTTCTTCTTTCATAATCTTTGTCAATTCGTCGTTCTCATCAATTGTTCTCTGTTCATTTTCAGTTTTTTGCACAGATTGCTCAATTTTATTTTCCATCTCTTTAGCTTTAATATCTTCATTATTTTCAGATTTTATATCTAGTGTTTTTATTTCTTTATTTGCGTATCTTTTATCTTGCCTAGCATTTCGTGAGCGCGATCTAGAACGTCTAGAGCGTAACTCCTTCCGATTAACAAATTCTATAAAACCTTGTTCGTCTACCTGAACTAAATTCTCTATAGGTTCTTGTTTAGGAGCCTCCTCCACATAAATCTGGACCTGCAGCGGAGGTTCTATATTTTGTTCTGGTTTAGGAAGACTTTGTTCGAAATTAATAATATCACTAACTTCCGGTGATTCTATAGATTTTTTACCAACTATTGCAGCCCATGTATTTTCTGATTTTACATATGTTTCATTATCTTTCGTATTAATTGAATCAACAGAGATAGTTGAAATAGCCATTGTTTCCTTTTCTACTTCTTCTACCCAAGGAATTGATTCTTCTTGGGAACTGAGGTTTGTAATAACTGTTTGATAATCAGAAGACTGTACTACCATTTTATCTTGTTTGTTATCTTGTTCTAATGGATTTTGTAATTTTTCTGTAATAAAATCTTCGTGCATTTCATTTGAAATGGGTGTTTTTACATTGATCGCCAAATGATCCGTCTTTAATGGAATAGTTTTTACTGAATATGTTTCTTGTTGAGAAATCTGAGGAGAAGTTCTTCGGGAGGAGGCTGTAACTTGTGCGTAAGATTTATTACTTTCTTTAAGCTGTTTCAACAGTTCTGTGGATTTCTCCTCGATCGGTTTGATTTCATCCACCACTGTTGCCTTTAATTCTTCGATGTCATTTTTGCTTATTTGCTTTTCTAATGAAGGTAAGTGCGTTGTGAGTGTTTCTTCTTTTGATGGAATTTCGCATGAGTCATACTCAGTCGGCGCTTGTAATTGTTTTACAACATTTGTGACATTATCATTTGTATCTTGAGTAATAGCAGATGTTTGAGTGTTTAAAAAGTCATCATTCGAAGCAACAGTTGTCTCTGTTGTACCTTTTTTACCAACAATTGCTGCCCATGATTTCGGATTTAATCGATTGTCATATTTAGACATGTCATCCTTTGACTCTTGTTGGTTTTCCACAATTGATGATGTTTCAAATACATCTGATTCTGTCGCTTTAGAGAAAGTAATACTGTCATCTTTATTTAAGTTATCCTCACATTTCACTAATGCTGATTTCTCTTTAAGAATAACTTCAGGTTTCTGGTTTTGTTTTTTGGATTTTTTGGATTTCTTACGTTCTTCACGTTTCTCACCCTCTTCTTTATCTTTGTGCAATTCAACCTGTTGTTTGTCCACTATCGAAGATTTCTCTGCTTCTTTTATTTTGTAATCACTTTTATTTTCCAATTTATTTTCTTCTAAATTACTTTGTAATGATAAATCGTCTTTAGTGACGTCTGTTTTAATGTCATCATTCTGCTTGTTTGCAGTTTTAGTCTTCGCTTGATCTTTAGTTTTTGTGACTTTAGCATGTTTTAACTCTTTCTTTTTCCTTGATTGATTTTTTGTTTTATCGGTTTGTTTTTCGTTCATAACTGTTTCATTTTTAATATCTTTTATGCTAGTATGATATTCATCTTTTACAGCAATTTCTGTTAGGGATGTACTATTTAAAATTTCAGTTTTTTGTTCTTTGGTCTCAATGTCTTCTTCAATAATTTCTTCTGATTTTTCAATTATTGTTTCTTTTTCAATTTTTTCTTGTTGCTCTTCAATAATTGGTTCTTTTTGCTCTACCGTGTCTTCTTGTTTTTCAATTATTAATTTTTTCTTTTTTATTTCTTTTTCTTCGATTTGTTGTTTAGTTTTTGCTTCTTTTATTTCAATATCTTCTTCCCTTTTTTTAATTTGGTTATCTTTTATTTTTTCCAACTCATCAAAATCATCATCAATTATTATTTCTTCCTCAAGAAGAGCCATCCAAGCATCATCAGATTCTAGATGAACAGACGGTATCTTTGCTGGTTTTTCTTTAATTTCTTGGTCGGTTTCAATATTATTTTTTATATCGGTTTTGTTTTCTTGAATATTTGTATCTATTATTATTTCTGCATCTGTCAATTGATTATTACTGATTTTTTCGGTGGATGCTTCAACGGAAACATTTGATTCTGTAACTGATTGTGGTATTGAATCATTAGTAATACTAATTAAATCTTTTACATTATTATTAAATAGCATATTATTAGCAGATGTGCTAACTAAAGTTAAAGTTGGCTCTCGAATTTCTTCAATTGATTCTATGCACGATGGAATTTCTACAACTTCAGAAATATTTTCGGATAATTGTTTTTCTTGTATCTGTACTTCATTTGTTCGGTCTTGGTTTTCAACACCTATCAATTTTGTATCTACCGTTTCATTAATTGTATTTTCTTCTGAATTAATTGTATCGTCAAAATCGTCTTCAATCATCATTGGTTCATCTAAAATACTCATCCAAGAATCATCTGAAATTAAATGTACAGATTGTTGTAAATCTTTTGATTTTTTATCTTTATCTTCACTATCATTTGTTTCAATTGCTTCAATTTTCTCTACAATCGCAATTGTATCCTTTGTAAAGTCAGACACTACATTTACAGCTTTATTTTCGTCAACAATTTGTTTTTCTCTTTCTATTGCAGTTTTTACAGATACTTCAGAGTCATCAGAAGAAATAGATACGGATTTTTCAGGCACGAATTTCATTTTAATCCATTGCGACTCAAATTCGTAAAAACTCGCGATCGGATATTTTGGCGCATCTACGATAAAAGCATGTCTTCTATAATCGCTTTCATTCATTTCTTGGTTCGATGATTTAACATCGATTGGTTTCATTACCGAGTCTTGTACGATTCTTTCTATGCTTTCTGGTCTTGTATGAACTGTAACAGTAGGTTGTACTTTTTTTACTGTTTTAACAACTTTAAAATAACGATGAAAATTACTTTCTGCATGATTGTAAGCATGGCGATCCATCGCATAAGGTTTAATAAGATCTAATAAATGTTCAGGCACTATTTCCTTCTTTATTTTCGAACTTTCAGGTATTTCTTTACTGTTTATTTTTCTGATTGTGTGTTTACTTTCGCATTCCATCGCAAATTCTGTTTTTCTATCTATCTTTTCCTGAATATTATTAGCAGCATTGACTTCATTTTCATTTGTACATTTATCGTTCTCAATTAAAATATTTGAATCAGCTTGACTAGTTTCATCACTTAGTATAATATGATTATTTTTAACTGAATTATCAATATTTTGGCCTTCTATGATATTGTCATTTTGTAAAATAGTGTCAACAGCAATATTTCCTGATGTTGTTATAACAGTATTCTCCTTTTTATTATCATTCTCTTGTTTTTCTTCAGGAATTTCTACCTTTAATTGATTTCCCAATCTTTCTGTATCATTTAATTGAATAATAACTTCTCCTTTCTTCTCTTCGGCTGAAGTCATTGGCGGGGATTTCTTTGACATATCGCGACTTTCTGAAGTGCTCGAACAAACATTTCTCCTATCCTGCACGCTATCGAAGAGGGTCATTTCGTCGGATATCACATTGTTTTCGGTGGAAATCGCGGAAGTTAAACCTACTTTTTGAGAAATCGCTGCCTGATCCGATTGCATACTAACGAGAGAATCATTTGATACCCTAGCATAAGTAGTAGTAAGACTAGCCTCTACAGTTTCAGGACGCAAAGTGATTAACTCGGTAACTTTGGAACCTACAATTTTGGGAAGGGATATATTTTCTATTATTTCTACCGATTTAACGGACTTGACATCGGGTGGCTTGACCTTTACCGATCCTGGAACGCTGGTTGTAGTCGTTACGGTAGTAATCATTTTCTCTATAATCAAAGCCTTCCCTGTCGAAGACGGTTGTTCGGATTCTAAATTATTATGTGTTTCATCTGTGTGTTCTTTATATACTTGAGCTTTGTCGACCGAATCACTTGAAACTTTAGAATCAAATTCAGTTTCAGTTTCATTCTTTTTCGATGATTCTTGCGTCTTTTCATTATCAACATTATCAATTTTCGCAAGAGATAGATTTATAAACTTTGGGGTTTCTTCTTTCTTCGTTGAATCATCCTTGAAAACGATTTCCTCTTGGAATTTATCGTAAAAAGACTGTTTCGTTTGTTCAGCTGTATGCTTAGGAGACAGACGTTCTTTTTTCTTCATACGTTTCGACATTTTTTCCTTGGGTGCAACGTCTTTCGATTTTTTAATATCCTCCGTTAGTAGAGAATTTTCATCATTTATATCGGTCTTAACATCTTCGTTTTTAATAATTGTTTCTTTATCATGATCAAGTTTCCCATTTTTAATATACCGATATTTTTCTTCCATGTCCGAAACGGTATTACTTATTTCTGAAGAAACTTCAGATTCTTTAGGGAGTGTTTCTGTAATAGAAATAATTTCGACATTCTTAGTTACTGTAGTAGGTTTAGCAAAATCTATCTCAGATACTGTTGTAGGTTTTTCAGTTGATTTATTAACTTGGCCGAGTACTATATCTTCTTCCTTGTCTATTTTAACGCCATGGTTATTTTCAGCGTCTGTTTTTGATTGAACAAGACAGCTGTTATTAAGCATTGATACATGTTGTTCAGTCAAATTCATTTTTTCCGAAAATTGCTCTTGGATGATAGTTTCTTTTGAAGGTGCAATTAAAAATTCGATATTAAGTTCATCTTTCTTTTCATCAGTTTTATTTTCAACATCCTGCGGCATTTCAATACGATTTTCTTTTCTTTTATCTTGAACATTAGACTTTGTTTTTTCGGATTTTTTCTGTTTCATTGTTTTTATCTGACATTTCTCTACTTCTGGTTTTTTAGTTTTCTCAATTACTTTTGTATTATTATTAATTGCTTCTTTCTCATCCATTGTATCGATCTCTAAATTTTCCGTCGTGAAACTTTCAACTTCTAATTTTGCGTTTGTCTGATGCTCTGTTTCTTTGCTTTCTTTAACTCCAACTGAATCATCTGTTTTATCATTTTTATCAATTTGTACAATTTCCTGTGCTGTTTGTTGAATTGTTTCAGGCAACAATATTTCTTTTGAAGTTTCCTGAACTACTGCTGCTTCTACGATTTTAGCTTCATCGATCATTTGTTCTGATTTTGGAACGTCATGTTTTTCTGTATCGTTTACATTTATTTTAATTTCATCCAAAACTTTGCTTGTTGAAATCATAGATGATGGATCAATTATGGCTTCAGATTTTATTTTATTTTTAGAGGCTTTGTCTTTCTTTCGAGGATTGGTTTTACTTTTTTTGCTTTCATTTACATCGCTAGCAATTTTTGTAACATTAAGCGTTTTTGATTCGGAATCTTTTATTTCAATATCAGTTAATGGTTTAATTGATTTTAAAGATTTGTCCTCAATTATTTCTTTAGTATTGATTTCAAGCTTTTCTTGATTTATGTTACTATCTTCAACTTCCAGTTTCACCTCTTTTGACTTTGTCTTATTCTTTTCTTTTTTTGAAGCATCTTTATATTTTTTTGTATTTTCAATTTTTGTAGACGTATCTGTTTTTCCATTTGTACCTTCCAATTCGATTTTTTGAGTAACTAATAATTTTACATCTTTTGTTATATTATTTTCATCGACTATATTTTTTATTTCATCCTTTTTGTTGTTACTTAAAACATCCGATTGATACATTTTATTTTCTGAAGCCTCTCCGTTTTGTTCTTCGATTTTTGTATCTTTATCAATTTTGTTCTTACATTTCGTTACATCGAGTTTGTTAGAATTAATGTGGCTGTTGTCGAGTTGCAATTCTTTCGACATTTCCTTAGTAATATCTTTTTGGATCTCCTCTTCATTTTTGGAATCTGAGACTTTTGCATCCTTCGTATCTTTTTTATCTTCCACGTCATCTTTTAAAATATTTTTATCGCTTGCTTTGATTTTACTTGGCAACATGACGTGTTCCACAGATATAGTTTCTTTTATTCTTGTTGCTTCTTTAGATTTTTTTGATTTCCTGGACTTTTCACCAAATTTGCTTTGTTTTTTATCAGTTTCATCGTTATGTTTTTCTATCATCTCATTAACAGAATCTCGAGATTTGATTTCCTTATTCTGCTCTTTAAGCTTGTCTTTCTGAGATCTTATTTTTTGTTTATCCATATCCTCAATCTCTCTAAGGGCTTTGTCAATTTCGTCTCCTACTGATTTATCTATTTTCTTTTTCTTTTGTCTTCGTTTCTTTTCTTGCGATGGATTTGTATTTAAATCGATTACTGGCTGTTCTTGTTGCACTGGTTTTTCTTCTTTTTGCATTGGGCTATCACTGATTTTATCGAGAAACGATTCATCTTGCGTTTCCAATTGTTTCGGCGGAGTTAATTTTTCGTTCTTTTGTTTTTCCTTTGATTTATCGATAGGCTTTCGAGATTTTTTCTCATCCGTCTGTTTAATTTTGTCTTTCGAGTGCTGGTGCCTCTTCCTGACCTCCCGTTTCTTCATCGTGTCCCAATCATTTTCTTTGGATTGTTTAGATTGCTCATCAGATGTAACCGCGAATGATGGCGACTCTTGTTTGAATTTCGGTTCCTGCAATGGTGACAATTCGCGAGATGGTAACTCGAGTGACTCTTTTGGCGAATCAGAACGTTCTTTACTTTGATAATTCGCGGCTGTCGATTCACTAACGATGCGTGTCGAAGTAACACGTGGACTGAGTCCATGCGAAAGTATTTGCGCGTACGAAAAGGTTTGCCCTTTGGTTTCCATATTATTCAATGGTGACATACTCCTTTCTTCTGTTTTATTCGTTGTGGAAATTTCTACATTTGAGATATTTACAGATTTTTGCTGTTCAGGCTTATCGATAGGTTCAGTCGCACTCACGTCTTTACGAACTTCAGATTGTCTAACTATTGGCACCTCAACAGGTTTTTCCATCACTATTCCAGTTGTATGTCTCATATCATCAACGGGTTGCTGCATCGGAGTCTGCTGATAAATGTCCGATGCTGAAAGATATGCGGTTGGTGCAACGTAATGTTCTGGCGCGTAAGCTAAGGAACTGTTATCATAAGGATTCAAGTTTATTTGATCGAGTTGCTGTACTTGCTGATGATGACCGGACGGCGCGTAAACGTACGAACTTACTGGATACGTTCCAAGATGGGACCCGATGAAACCTACCAATTCCGGCATCGTCTCCGGTATCATATAATCATAGATCTCCGTCGGTTGCTGTTGTCTTGGCACATTCTCATAAGATTTCACATGTTGCAGTACATTATAATCTTGCAAGGACTCATCAGTCCAATTAGTCGATTCAGATTCAGTGTAATTTTGATCCTCTGTTTTCTCCGTTTCAGGTTGACAGTAAGTCTCTGCGATTTGCATGTTTCCCGTCTGTATTTCTTGCGTCGGTACAATTTGCTGGACCTCTGTGACTTGTTGAGACTTTTTAGCGTTTGCGATATCTTGTTCCGTCACTTCTTCCACGCGAGGAACTTCCATTTGACCTCGTCGAGATTCTTCGGATAAAGAAACCATTTTTTGTCTAAGTGGTTGCGCAGGAGTAGTAACCTGCGTTGTCTGTATACATCCACGAAGGATATCAGCGTAGGAAGTAGAACCGGGAACCCACATGGGACTGGGCGAACGTCCTCTTCGTTCTTCACATGGTGCTAGAGAGTTCTTCACGGGCTCCGTTTGCGTTTCTTCCCTGGAATTCGCGCCAGATCCAAGATTATCACATCTGTCGATTTCTCCTTCTTGATCCGCTATTATTTTGGGGTTTTTCACTTTGGATGAGTTTGTCTTGCGTGTAGGCGATCGTCCTCGACGTGGCATAGATAATTCGACTTCGGGTACAGCTTGCTGACATTCTTCCGCACCGATTATGCTTCGATCATCTGTTGTTGGCACGTGTGTTTCAGTTTGTAATTGCGATTTTGATTTATTTATATTCGCGTCATTTTTATGAATTTGCATTTTTGAGATTTGTGTCTCGTCTAACGAAAGAGGATGTTCCATAGTCAACTTTTGAGCTTGCATAACCGCGGGTCGTAATACTTGTGCGGTCATGGTAGGAGGAGTGACTTCTCGTTGGTGTCTATATGGGCTACAGTTTCTCGAGCTTGGACTATTGGTACGTCCTGCTGCAATATCGGCATACGAGGCTTGGCCTATGAACCGGTACTCGTTGGTGGGTATGTAGTATGGATCCACCTCGTGTATCTGATCCACCAGTGTCTTGCTGCGTTGCTTCCAATCCTCCATCCGTTGTTGCAGGCTCTGCTTTATCCACCGCGGAAGGTCAGCCAAGGCAATGGAATACATATACTATGTCAATTTTGAGGAGTCTCTTTACATTCATCATGGGATGGGGGGCGATATTATTTTTAAAGCCAAAGTTTTCATTTGAGCAAGTCGCATTAAAGTATATCGAAAACCTCTCTGTGTACGTAAGTAAAGTGAGTGGATTTCGTGAATGAATGTACTTGAACATCGATTGACAGTAAACGAGTTTTTATTTTTCCTTATTCAATCACATCGTATGGCTATTTAAGCACAGATATTTAGGTCAAGAGACGCGCGCTCATACATGGTAATATAATCGCGTTTATAATCTCGTAGAGTGATATCTATTAGAAAATCAGTGCTCGATAAAAATTTACTTAGAAAAATTATGTGGTACTAAACTAAGTCGTTTGATCTTATCAAAAAACGTTGACGACAAAGGTGAGAGTGGATTTCATTTTGTATCTGTTCTATCTCGCCTTTATCGTTAATGTTTCCTTCGATCAGGTTTTGCATGTGTAATTTGAGATGCGGCGGCTATCATCGTCGTTATTCATCGATAATAGTAAAAATTATAGAATCGAAAACAGAGGAGATAACTTATTCATGAAACGAATAAACGAAGATAACAACGATGAGAGTCGGATTCGTTCAACGGGGGTAGGTCTCTATTGTCATGGGTCCAAGGGCTCTAAGTCTGGTGTGCCTCGCTGTACGAGTAGTTTAGATCTCTCGGTGCGCGCCTGGATTTTACTTTGCAAGGATTTGATTTTCTCGCGATAAATCTAACCGCATATAGAACCGCAAATCGAGAGCGTTAACACGTCGAACGAGCGAGAGGGACGGAATGAGAGTAGTGAGGTCATGAGGGTTTTAATAATGAAGCAGACATTAAGTAAGAAGGAAGAGCGCAGAGTACAAAAAAGTCATGATGAATAACGAGCGAAATGGTAACGATTTCGATAACAACGTAATCATAAACGACGATGATCGCAAGGGGAGATTGAAATACGATAACGACGGAGATAGCGAGGATAGTGACAGATAAAGAAGCACAGGTAATCGTTGGAAATGACAGAGGTATAAAGGAACAAGGGATACATCAAAGAAAAATTCATAAATGAAACAACTGATAAAGAAATGAATGCGATGAAATAAGAAAAAAATAGATACAATAAATAAAGGAAAATTAAAGCATATTGTAAGAAAATAATTGTAGCATTCGATTTGTCTCGCATGATCTCGACACGCGTCTTGACATTGGAGGTCACTTGATTTTCCTATGGCTTTTACAGCTATATGATTGTTTGTCTGGATTACGAAAGTCTAACATAAAAATTCAGATCACGTAAGGGATGCGTACGTGTGAACGGTGCATGACACGCTTTACGTGAATGTGCGGCAGTACTTCGCGTTTTGCTACGTGGTCTTTCATTCTAGAACGTAAGACATATGTGCGTGATTGCTTATTACGTAATGTACACGCGCGCACACATGAACAGAGATAAGTAAAGAGAAAGATACGTATATATTGTAATACACATACATGTGTGAGAGTATATATACGAAGATGTAGCGATATACACGCGTGATAAGTGAAACACTTAAACGATAAAAACCAGAAAAAGAAACACAGAAAACAAGCAAAATCAAGTAATCCCCTTCAGAAATGATAGTACAAAAGTTTTGCAAGATTAAATGATCTTAAAAACTAGGATTCGAGGAGGAGACTATATGTGTGTACCTTGGTGAGAAAAGGAAAACGGATATCAACATAGTTAGAACATGATACCAACCAGTACCCTGTAAGCGGTGTACCACCATGATGAACACGAAACCAAAAACTTTCGAGATTCGATTTCGTACAATTCACAAATATGTATCATTTATCTTACAAACAAGAAAAAGAATAGAATATAAATATTTATTTTAAATTTATTATTAATTCGCATTGTGTTTATTGTAAAAAGTATAGATGGTTTTAGTAAATGTTAGCAGATGATGTAGTTATTTGACAATAAAAAAGTTTACCAAATTCTGAACAAAATTTGAATTTATCTGTTCGGTAATAAAATTTAAACCTGAAAATCGACGTAAATAACGTACAATTACAAAATAGCCGTATTCAATTAACAAATTATGTAAGTTAGTTCTCGAAAATAATATCGATATTTAATGAAGTTTTGACGCATGAGAGTACAAAAATAAGATTCGCACGTAAAAAAGAAGGATATAGGATAAAAGATAGGTATATGATATATAAACAGTGCAGGAAGCATCTTAAATTAGTTTTGACAGTTGCAACTATTTTTTTTAAATATGTAACTATTTTTTTTAAATATGTAATTATATATATAATTTATTAATGATATCTTATTTAAGAAGATGTTTCCATTCGTATTTATATATGTAGTTATTGGCCATTTCTTAATTCTTCATTTCATATAGTAAACAAATTAATTTTATCTGTTAATATTCTAAATTAATGAAATTTTTTGAAATATGTATATTAAAGAATTAATTTTTATATATTTTATCTTTCGATATAACAAGGATATAAATGGCAAATAACTCAAAAGTTAATCCTAGTTATATGTGGTTAATAGTGGCTCCCCCGACGGGTAGTTATAAATCATGTGCGTTCTAATTATGCGAGTATTATATTCAAATGAAAAGAGAGATTTGCATAATTGCGCCCAAAAACGCAGAAAACTACCCCCGACAATTACGCGCAAAAATCTACCCCACCTTCCGACAATTCAAAGGGGAATAGAACAACGCATTCTTTCTTGGTGGTGGTTTTAGTTGGTATCGAGCAAATGCAAAAATCAATTGCTGCTTCAGCGCGCTTGTGCAGGTAATAAGAACGTTAAGGAAAGAAGGGCTATGCCTACCTGTTGCTCTTGAAGAGCTTTTTCTCGATCATTCGGCATATACGTCGGGCTGAGTACCGTCCTCAATTGTTGCTCCACCTGCACAATGTGTTGTCTCAACTGTTGAATTTCCTGAAACGAAATAAGACAATCTCGCTCGATATGGAAAAACATTGTACTGTATCGTAGTTTGAAGACTAAATGCTATCTTTTCCATTCCGCTAACCTGTTGATACTGATCTATCTGCGCTAAGCAAACTTCTAGAGAAGTTGTCTGTTCTTTAACGGTGCTGTGAAGAGAATTGAGTTCGGCGATCAAATCGTCAGCAGTATCTTTCACCCGGTTATCGCCGACGATACCGGATCTAAAGTGCACCTCGAGTTTTTCCACGGAGATCGTGATCTTTGTTTTTTGAATCGCGATATCGCTAAGCATTTTCTCACGAATAGCATGTTGATCGCGCAACGGTTTCTTCTTATTCTGTGGCAACTCCAGCGTCTGCTTGGCCTTCTCCATCCAGCTCCGCACGTCCTTCATCTTCTTCTCGCATTGCTCCCATTCTTCACTGGCCTCTTGCAGTAATGCATTCTGTAATATGGGGATTTTTGACAATAGACTGATATTAACCTAAATTTCGGTCGAAGTGAACTAACCCTTTCCAATAGCTGACCCTCAACCTGGACTTTGCCCTCTTCCGCCTCGGCCAACTTCTCTGGTAGGTCCGCCACGGTAGTTACCTGACCGATATTCTCCAATTCTCTGCCCATGTCACTAAGATTTTTATTCACCTGCTTGCAGCTCTTGACTGCTGTCTATAAAACGAAGGAAATGTCAGGCGAACATTGTCGCATATCGTAGAACGTAAAAAGTGACGTTCTTTCACATACCGAATATTCGTGCAATCTTTGTCTGGCTTGCTGAAGAGTGCTGAGCTTCAATGGTTCGACTAGGAATTGTCGTTTTTCCTCCGTCCATGTCTTGACAGCCTCATAAAGTGCAAGGAACCTCTGCCAGGCATCTAGAGTGTCACCTACGATTTGTTTTTTCTCTTCCAACCAGCTCTTGATCTGCGCTAGTTGTTCAGTAAGATTATCGATCGTGCTATTGATTAGCTCCTTCTCGGCGTCGTCCCTCGTGTTCTTGACGATGGTTTGCCCATTCCTCGTCAGTCGTTCGAGCTTATCGCTAATCGTGCCCAGCTCGTTTTGTATTTGTCTGAGGTTTTCTCTGAGGATAGCCGGCTCGATTGATCTGTCCTGTACCTTGAGCTCGGCTTGTCGAATCCATGCTTGCACCTCGTCCACGTCGATTAGATAATCCGACCTAACAGTCCTAGCACGTTTCTGCTCTCTTTGTTTTTCCTCCATTGTTTGTGTCGTTGCTTCGGCACAAAGCTCGAGTGCGGTCAGATGCTGGGTAATGTCACTTGGTACTAGCTGCTGGCTAGCTTGGTACCGCGCCTTAATGCTTCCTGAGAAGTTCTTGGCGGTGTCAACGAGATCCTCAACCTGTGAGTTCAGCTTTCCCAGTTCGATCTCAGTCGCGTCTTGATCAACGCCGTAAACGTATAAATTCGACGCGCTTTCGCGCGTCTCGTTTAGTCGCTTTCGTAGGCGCTCGATCTCACGTTCAATGTTTTCGAGCGCCTCCAGATCCTCGCTCGCCTTCTCGGACTTCCCACGAAGAGAGCCGACGAGTCTAAAAGGACGATTCGAATGGTGACGATTCGCACGGTGAAAGAGGCTCTCGTAAGAGACTCTTAACATTTTTTATCATACAGACGCGTTGAATTTATGTAAATACATTTGGTCATTTAAGGGAAGGTTGGCGAGAAAAACAAGCTCGACTATTTAATTTTGAAACTAAAATACTTGTCTCTGTGTGATATTAAATTCCTCTTAAACTAAAAATAACTAAAAATAACTTAAACTAAAAAAATTGAATAATATTGTATAAAAAAATATAAATAGTATAATGCTGCTTACATTTAAAAAGATGAATAAAATAATAAGATGTAATTATTCTTATTATTGCTCATATACATGTTACAGACACATATAGAGTATGATTTATTGAGATGTCGTTCCAAATAACAGACATTTCCGAAACGAATATAATAATATATTAAAGTTCCACGTGAAAAAAATTGTATGGAATAATCGGTAGTCTTAAACATTTGTGGTGAGACAAATTTAGAATCGGAAATGCGTGTCGCTGTGCTTCAGCTGGCCCGATCCCAGGCGAAGTCGCGCAGTCAGGGCAGCCTTGGCTAAAAGTAGACGAAGGAAGTATGTACCGATGGGAGTTTGGCCGACTGTTCACACTTGTGGTATACCACGAAGAAAACACTGTTCAAAAAAGGTGTTATATGATTTTACGAGACAATTATTTTATTTAGCATCCACACAATCGATGTGTTTCGAGAAACAAAATTGATGCTTGAAAATGTTTTTTTTTTTTTTTTCAGATACTAATTTTTAATCGAATAAACTAGAAAAAGAAAAGTGTCTGATTTTGTAATAGAATTTTAATAATATTATAAATATAATTTTCTATTTTACATTTATCGAAGAATTTTTTTGATAAATGCGCAAATGTCTCCTCTCTCTTTAAATAAGAACAGAGTAAATTACATGTTTTTTTTACTGCCAGTTGCACAGTCAACATAAATCACGAAGAATAATTTAAACGTTGATGTCATCTGCTAAAAACTCGTATGCTGTCATCCTTGTCCTTTTAGAAGGAAAGTACAATTTTGATTTCATCATTACTAAGACGATCTGTATTTTCAACGGTGACTTTCGTTTCTCAGACGGAGAATTACGCAAAATTACAAATTTGAAATTTATTACGACTCATCCCGTTTCTCTTTATAGTCTACTTGCTAGAGAGTGAACTCTTATTAATTTAGTAGAATTTAGTAGAATTAATTTTATCACGTTACAACATGCCATCTTTTAATTCGACATTAAGTATGTTGGCGATTATGTATTTGCTGATTTTTACACGTTGCTTTCAAAATACGTGACCATGAGGATTCTCGAAGTCAATGTTGACTTTTGTGCAACGATTCTTTTTCTACGATGACATCATTGAGCCGGCCTGAATGCGAGATACGATTGCCGGCCGGCAGATGTAACACGATGAAAAACAAATGAAAAATTTTAAAAAAAAAGGAAAAAAAAACCTGTGATGTAAGATTTATAGATTAGTTATGTAAAACATAGACACTTTTTTTATTTTATTTTATAATTATTTTATAACGTATATCGTTGTATTATATTATATTTTTTAATGTATTATAATTGTATTATATTATTAGGTGTTGGAATTAATTCGTAGCGTTTTTTAATGAAAGAATGTTATTTATTTCACATGAGAATTAAAAAATACATTAATGAAAGTACTTCCCATCACTTGTAAAACGCTACGAATTAATTCCAACACCTAATATATTTTTTAATTTATCGTTGAAAGTAAGTTTTTTCGTACGAGGTGTTTAATGTGTCATCCCTATTTCTATATTTTCATTTTGTGAATTCATTCACGTGACCGCGCGCAGTAATGAAAATTGCTCGTCTGAAATAAGAAATAAGAGAAATTAGAATGATAAATTTACGTGCCGCGACAGCCGAATCAAATTCATCGCCAAAATGAGTTTCCTTCTACAAACTATTAACATTTGCACGCAGTGATCTATTTCCAGCGCTATGAGTTTAGGTGCGAAACGATTATCTGTTCTCACGCGATCTCGTATAATCTGCGATAGCTCCATCGATCGCACAACTTACTGGTTGCGATCATATGCTGCGCACGATTCTATTTCGTTAATTGTAGTGCCTAACGGATGTCATAAAAATTTCTCTTACTAACAGTGTTTAAATCACTCTCAATCTATCTATCTATACAAACGATATCGTAATCGAACAATAAACCCGAGCAATATATGTACCTATGTATGGTTGGAGGAAACGCGCGATATTCGCGTTTTCGCGATACAGTCGACAGCGAACCGAGCGCGAACTTTTCACTTTCTTCCCTTTTTCTGGATTATTTTTTCTTTAATCCTTATCTTTATTCTTGCGTTTATCTGGATAACAGTATGGCGCGGCACTATCAAGCCAAACAGCAGCGTTCGCGGTTCGAAACGTTATTGGAGGGATACAGTCGCTTGAGTTAGCGTTAGACGCCAGTTGAGACGCATTGGCGAGGCGCCGCGACGCATGCGGCCTGATCTTAGAAATGGTTTGGCTAGCCAAGAACATCCTAAGAATAATCGGTCTGTGAATATATAAGGCCGATAAGGAACGGAGAATTGGAAGAAGACTGTACCGAATGAATTTTAAATAATGACACGAAAAATATGTAATGACCGCATGCAACTTGTAGTAGAAATTTTACGACTAATTTTGGTCGGAGCTTCCGACTTTATATTTTATAATTGATCATGCAGTCTTTCTCGACGAAAATTGACTGAATGTATCCAGAGATTTGAACTAGTATCTTAGTTGGATGGAATCAGCAAATTTATAGCGTATTGCACGTGATTTAATCGACACCGTGACTATCGCGATGAAATAATACGAGTCATAATAACAATTGCAAAGTGGCATAGCAATTAAAATGGAGATTGCATGCACGTATACTATTGTTTAAAAATTTCTGGATAAATGTTGTTGACTAATATATACAATATAAAATATGAACAAAAATACAACGTTAACTACGCTGATCAACAAAATTTTAGAGAAAACAATAGAAAATTTATCATTGAATAGATCGATTATTAAAAAGACTATACTAATGTTATCTTATTATTATAAATTCATTATTAGAAAAATTCCAGTAATATTCGTATGACAAAGATTACGAAATTTGTGTCTAATTGTAAAAATTTTGTCAAAAATATTTTATCTTTCTATCATTTCAGATAATTGATGTTAATAAAAAATTAATAAATTTTGTTGCAACCTACACGTTCTAACGCGAAAAATTTACCGGAGTCGCGTGCCGACTGTTATAGTACATTCCATTGTATCATGAATCATAGATACATATGTATGTGATATCATGTCTTGTTTATGATACAGTATGTAAGATGCAATGTTTGATTTTATTTCAGACGATGTCTAATCTATATTTAACGAAGATTTAATTAGCATCGGACGCATCTTATGATCGGCCAGCGAACTACGTATCGATGACACGACACATTAAGGTATGTAGATATAGAGCATTAAAAAATTCGCTATACTTTCCACTATATTTTCGTCCATCATTAATTATAGAAAAAAGAATCTCAATTGTAGAACAGTACTTTATAAAATTTGCAAAAAATTGAATTTTGCAGTGAAATGTGTTTTCTTTTAACTTTTATCAATCATACGCAAAATATAAAAATACTCGTATAATATAAATTCCAGTGTCCTCATCTGCAATTTAAATTTCTTTTGATTGAAATTTATCTCTGATTCTGCGTGCGATACACGTATGTCGATATCGTACTAATATAGTTTGTTCCGCTTTGTGCGCATGCGAAACTACGACGTTTGCGCCATACGAGAGATGAGGTTTCGCAAGTTTAAGTAATCGTTTTGATTAAGTCGCGATTGTAGGACGTTATCCAGATGTATCCTCGAATTAGTACGACCGTCTCTTTTTTCCGTTGATATTTAACGAGAACAAAAAAGAAAGAAAAAAATCCCGTGTGTATCA